GAAGGCATGAGCTGGCGTCATGAGAACAGTAACCTAAAATCTTCTTTTCATACGGAAAAAAATGTAAAAGAAGGAGATACTCAAAGTGACAAGACAAGATTTAACATATTTACTACTTCGGGATTTAAGAAATGACACACAACAAACATCTATTCAAATCTTAACATGGCGCCCTGAAAAGTAATGCTGAAGAATGTAACTACAAAAGAAAATTTGTTCTTCCATGAAGTGGGTCTGTTGAAATTCTGTTAGCGAGAGTTTGGGCCAAAAAAATGCACGTGGACCGTACATTTTCCCGATCAGCATCAGTTCCGATATGATTGAGCAGGCATTTGAACAGCTCCGCAATTGCCCAAGTGTCAAGGATTATTGTCACTGGTGAATGATTATAAGTGTCGTTTTGACTTATTGTTATCAACAGATCCACACATTCTTTTGCCTTGCGTACAATCAACTTTAAAGCTTTTGTGGTTAACAGTGTTAGGGCGATTTGCCCAATTTTCGCGAGACGAAAAAAAATGTAAGCCACGCGACGGCTTATGGTGCCTCAAACATGCGAATGCAAAATTTTAAGCCTTAGGGTAAATCACCAAATGTGCAGTCTGGACAATCAGGTTTGACACAAATTTCCCAATTCGTAATGTTTTTATTTCATTGGAACGCCAGTTGCCTAGTGAGTAAATCAGAAATGGTTACTTCTTAACCTCCTTCTTCTCGTTGAAAGGGAAGTAGGGTGGATAGTAAGAAAGAAAGAAGACTACGGAAGTGGTCACGCACTAGGTGGTAGGCTGTGGGTTCGGCGGAATCGGGCGGTGCGGCGTACACCTCGAGGGCGTACTCTCCAGCCTCGGGTAAGTAAGCATTGAGGACTGACATAGGAACGCAAGGACCTGTTCCTGTAAGCACTGACACTCCAGTGGTTGGCATTGACGCCTCAATGTCCCTTAGGAGAACACAATTCTCCAGCAACTCTGGCTTCACTGAAAGTGACTTTAGGCGAGCTGTAAGACGGGGGATGCGATTCTCCTACAATACAAAAGCACTTCATCACCAATTCATTATGTGTCACGTGAATAATATAAAGGATATGACAAAGTGAAAGGGTGGTTAAGTGGGTTTTGAATTATCACTGAACGGGGTCGTAAAAACAGTTGTCAAAAGCTACTTAGTTTCTTGGTGGAACTGAGCTCTCCCGACCCTCCACAATCGGTAAACTTAAGCTTACTGCAGAGATGCGGCTGTGCTACCTTCAAACTATCGAAACCAACTCCATAATCGAGTTTTCCGACACTTTGAACTTAAATTCTACTCAGCGGTTGGAAGCTAAAAACCGCTTTTTTAAATTGTAGTATGTTCTTTTCTAAAAGAAGACAATTAACATTTTGTTTTATCAGTTTGTTTTTTTATCATCGTTAAGACTGAATAGAACTAAAATTTAATCAACAGATCAGAACATTAGCCATTGTTTTGTGCCAGTGATACCTAAAGAAATTTGGGTGCCGCAGTCAGTTGAATAACTGGTTTGCGCGTGTATTTAGAGGTAAAAATAGAACCCTGCACGACCAAATCGATGGCCAGGTTTGGTGCGTCTTCCAACCCTCCTACTGACAGTTGTTTCCCTCTTATTCCCTCACTCTTGTCCTACACGGCGAACCAAAATTGCAATAACCAAAAGCAATTTGACGTGGCTAAGTAAGTACCAATCGCCGGTTTATGAATCTGGATAAATACTTGAAGATTTTGACATATCAGGTGATTGTGACGAACTTGAAAACTACAAAAAATGCATGACATCAGACAGTGTTTTTGTGAATTACTTGCTGGTTATTCCTTGACCAACTAAAAGTGGTTCACCTATCAAGTTGGAATAAGTCACCTCATTTCACATATTCAATGGGAACATACGAAAATAAACACTGTCAATGAAAATTTTTGGATGTCAAAGGTCTTGTGCATTACCATTAATTAAATCCAGAAGATAAAATGTTACTTGACCGAATGTTTAAGCTGATCACAGATACGATGAACGCCCAAACTTTCTTTTGTGAGCATTTACTCTGACTATTTGTTTGTACAGATAAGTCGGAGCAGTAATATTTATTTTGCTTATTCGTCGTGTGAACCAAATGGTTTTCAGGGGTTTTATTCTACGTTAATTTAAATTTGAGAAAGACCGTAATGGTGGATAACAGGATGACTTACTATTTCAGCAACAATGAAACGTATTTCCACAGTTCCCTTAGGGCTTTTAATGAGCGGAGGGAGCCCTCGAGGCAGTGTCTCAAGGCCGTACTCATAGGCCTTCTCGGTGGGGCCGTAGTTTGCCTGTGCAGTGGGGGGAAAAGGCAAGGCAGTGAGGGAATTGCCCTCCCCTTCCCTCCCCTTCGCTGTGACCCGGTATTCACAAACATCAGAGAAGAGCTACAAATAGGCAAACTCATTGTCACAAATGTTGCCCTTTGTAGTTATTACATACCGATTGCAGTAGCATGAAATCATCCACGCGACTAAGTGTAAACGTTAGACCCATTAATAGCGCATACATTGCACTCCATTTTGCTCCTCCATGTAACAACATGGAAGGCGCTACTTCATCACCGCTTAAACTAGATGGATGAAATCAACTAAAGCCTCCTCTTTGTTTGCTCGAGGAATATTCTCAATGGAACCGACAATTGTTTTCTATAAAAATGTACATTCTCGTAAGTCGATCGGATCAATATGAATGAAATTTGCCTGAAAGTTTGTTAGCAATAGCTACCCTAAGACTCCAATCCATTGCTCGTATTGCATTTATCTACGAGGAATGGCGTATCAGACGACGTCAACGTGATTTTCGTTAACTCTGCGATTAATGATGTGTGCATCCTCGATTGACCGATTTGTAAGAGACACAGTTGTTTTGACCCAGGATCACCTGTATCAGTGCAGGTTTTGATTTATGGCAGCTGCTAAACGGACACCAGTTTGCGCACGTTTGACGAGGTCATAATGTGTGGTGAAATAAAAGTCCTGCTTGTGCAGAGCATGTTTGGACGCAGAAAAAATTAGCGCAAAGTATGCAAACAGCTTTTGGTCCTGCTTTTACGGTAGTTCATAGGGGAGTAGCGGTTTATTTTAGTAATGACGATGAATATGAACCTATGGCTCAACATGTTTCCACAAGTTTACTCCTTCCAAGTGCATTTACAGCTGCAAATGAATTTATAAATCATTCAAAAAGACAATGGTTGACGAGTTCCTCAAACTGTGTTGATTTTAAAGAAGGCCTTACGTAGCAAACAATGCTGCAAATTATGCATGAATAC